AAATAATTGCTGAAAATTTCCCTTAAGCTGATGAAGGAAATACTCTCTCAGACCATGGAAGACCACAGATCTCCCAACACAAGGGAACCAAGGACAACACCAAAACATATAATAATTAAAATGACAAAGATCAAAGACAAGGACAGGGTATTAAAGGCAGCCAGAGAGAGAAAAAAGGTCATCTACAAAGGAAAACCCATCAGGCTATCATCAGACTTCCCAACAGAAACCTTACAGGCCAGAAGAGAATGGCATGATATATCTAATGCAATGAAAAGGAAGGGCCTTGAACCAAGAATACTGTATCCAGCACAATTATCATTTAAATATGAAGGAGGGAATAAACAATTACCAGATAAGCAAAACTTCAGGAAATTTGCCTCCCACAAACCACCTTTACAGGATATTTTAAAGGGACTGCTCTAGATGGAAGCACTCCTAAGGCTAAATAGACGTTACCAGAGAAAATACAATCACACCAAAGAAAGCAGACCAAGCAAATACTAACTAAAGGCGAAAAATAAAATCAACTATTCACAAAAGCAGTCAAAGCAAGCACAAAAGAGTACAGAATGAAACACCCAACATATAAAGAATGGAGGAGGAGGAATAAGAAGGGAAAGAAATAAAGAATCATCACACTGTGTTTATAATAGCTTATTAAGCTAGTTAAGTTAGACAGATAGTAAAGAAGCTACCCTTGAACCTTTGGTAACCACAAATCCAAAGACTGCAATGGCAATACATACATATCTATCGATAACCACCCTAAATATAAATGGAATGAATGTAACAATCAAAAGACACAGAGTAATAGAATGGATAAAAAAGCAAGACCCATCTATATGCCGCTTACAGGAGACTCACCTCAAACCCAAAGACATATACAGACTAAAAGTCAAGGGATGGAAAAAGATATTTCATCCAAACAATAGGCAGAAAAAAGCAGGTGTACCCGTACTTGTATCAGACAAGAGAGACTTCAAAACAAAGAAAGTAACAAGAGATAAAGAAGGACATTACATAATGATAAAGGGGTCAGTCCAACAAGAGAATATAACCATTATAAATATATATGCACCCAATACAGGAGCACCAACATATGTGAAACAAATACTAACAGAATTAAAGGAGGAAATAGAATGCAATGCACTCGTTCTAGGAGACTTCAACACACCACTCACTCCAAAGGACAGATAAACTAGACAGAAAGTAAGTAAAGACACAGAGGCACTGAACAACACACTAGAACAGACGGACCTAACAGACATCCACAGAACTCTACACCCAAAAGCAGCAGGATACACATTCTTCTCAAGTGCACATAGAACATTTTCCAGAATAGACCACATACTAGGCCACAAACAGAACCTCAGCAAAAAGATTGTAATTCTACCAATCAACTACTCAGACCACAAAGGCATAAAATTAGAAATTGTACATAGAAAACAAAAAAGCTCACAAACACATGGAGGCTTAATAACATGATCCTAAATAATCAATGGATCAATGACCAAATGAAAATAGACATCAAGCAATATATGGAGACAAGTGACAACAACTTCACAAAGCCCCAACTTTTGTGGGACACAGCGAAGGCAGTTCTAAGAGGAAAGTATACAGCAATCCAGGCCTATTTAAAGAAAGAAGAACAATCCCAAATTGTGTCTAAAGTCACAATTACTAAAACTGGAAAAAGAAGAACAAATGAGGCCCAAAGTCAGCAGAAGGACGGACATAATAAATATCAGAAATAAATAAAACTGAGAAGAATAAAACAATAGAAAAAAAATCAATGAAACCAAGAGCTGGTTCTTTGAGAAAATAAGCAAAATAGATAAGCCCGTAGCCAGACTTATTAAGAGAAAAAGAGAATCTACACACATCAACAGATTCAGAAATGAGAAAGGAAAAATCACGATGGACCGCACAGAAGTACAAAGAACTATAAGAGAATACTATGAAAATCTATATGCTAACAAGCTGGAAAGCCAAGAAGAAATAGACAACTTCCTGGAAAAATACAACCTTCCAAGACTGACCAAGGAAGAAACAGAAAATCTAAACAGACCAATTACAGGCAACAAAATTGAATCGATAATCAAAAAACTACCCAAGAACAAAACACCCAGGACAGATGGCTTCACCACTGAATTTTATCAGATATATAGAGAAGACATAATACCCATTTTCCTTAAAGGTTTCCAAAAAATAGAAGAGGAAGGAATACTTCCAAACTTATTCTATGAAGCCAGCATCACTCTAAGACCAAAACCTGGCAAAGACACCACAAAAAAAGAAAACTACAGACCAATATCCTGATGAACATAGATGCAAAAATACTCAACAAAATATTAGTAAACCGAATTCAAAAATACATCAAGAGGATCATACACCATGATCAAGTGGGATTTATCTCAGGGATGCAAGGTTGGTACAACATTCAAAAATCCATCAACATCATCCACCACATCAACAAAAAGGACAAAAACCACATGATCATCTCCAAAGACGCTGAAAAAGCATTCGACACAATTCAACATTCATTCATGATAAAAACTCTCAACAAGATGGGTATAGAGGGCAAGTACCTCAACATAATAAAGGCCATATATGACAAACCCACAGCCAACATCATACTTAACAGCGAGAAGCTGAATGCTTTTCCTCTAAGATTGGGAATAAGACAGGGATGCCCACTCTACCCACTATTATTCAACATAGTACTGGAGGTGCGAGCCATGGCAATCAGACAAAACAAAGAAATAGAAGGCATCCAGATTGGTAAAGAAGTCATACTGTCACTATGTGCAGATGACATGATATTGTACATAAAAAACCCTAAAGACTCCACTCCGAAACTACTAGAACTAATATCCGAATTCAGCAAAGTTGCAGGATACAAAATTAATATACAGAAATCTGTTGCTTTCCTATACACTTATGATGAACTAGCAAAAAAAGAAATCAGGAAAACAATTCCATTCACAATTGCATCAAAAAGAATAAAATACCTAGGAATAAACCTAACCAAGGAAGTGAAAGATCTATACTTTGAAAACTACAAGATACTCTTAAGAGAAAGTATAGAGGACAGTAACAAATGGAAACTCATCCCATGCTCTTGGCTCGTAACAATTAATATTGTCAAAATGACCATCCTGCCTAAAGCAATCTCCAGATTCATTGCAATCCCTATCAAAATACCAACAGCATTCTTCAATGAACTGGAACAAATAGTTTTAAAATTCATATGGAACCATAAAAGACCCTGAATAGCTAAAGCAAATCCTGAGAAGGAAGAATAAAGCAGGGGGGATTTCGCTTCCCAAGTTCAAGCTCTACTACAAAGCCACAGTAATCAAGACAATTTGGTTCTGGCACAGGAACAGAGCCACAGACCAGTGGAACAGAATAGAGAGTCCAGATATTAATCCAAACATATATGGTCAGTTAACATATGATTAAGGAGCCATGGACATACAATGGGGAAATGACAGCCTTTTCAACAGCTGGTGTTGGCAAAACTGGACAGCTACATGTAAGAGAATGAAACTGGATCACTGTCTAACCCCATACACAAAAGTAAATTAGAAATTGATCAAAGACCTGAATGTAAGTCATGAAACCATAAACCTCTTTGAAAAAAACAGAGGCAAAAATCTCTTGGACATAAACATGAGCAACTTCTGCATAAACATATCTCCCTGGGAAAGGGAAACAAAAGCAAAAAGAACAAGTGGGACTATATCAAGCGGAAAACCTTCTGTACAGCAAAGGACACCATCAACAGAACAAAAAGGCATCCTACAGTTTGGGAGAATATGGTCATAAATGACAGATCCGATAAAGGGTTTACATCCAAAATATATAAAGAGCTCATGCACCTCAGCAAACAAAAAGCAAATAATCCAATTAAAAAATGGGTAGAGGAGCTGAACAGACAGTTCTCCAAAGAAGAAATTCAGATGGCCAACAGACACATGAAAAAATGCTCCATATCGCTAGTAATCAGAGAAATGCAAATTAAAACCACAATGAGATATCACCTCACACCAGTAAGGACGGCCACCATCCAAAAGACAAATAACAAATGCTGGCGAGGATTCCGAGAAAGAGGAACCCTGCTACACTGTTGGTAGGAATGTAAATCAGTTCAATCATTGTGGAAAGCAGTATGGAGTTTCCTCAAAAAACTAAAAATAGAAATACCCTTTGACCCAGGAATTCTACTCCTAGGAATTTACCCAAAAGAAACAAGTTCTCAGATCAAAAAGACATATGCACCCCTATGTTTATCTCAGCACTATTTACAATAGCCAAGAAATGGAAGCAACCTAAATGCCTGTCAGTGGATGAATGGATAAAGAAGATGTGGTACATATACACAATGGAATGTTATTTAACCATAAGAAGAAAACAAATCCTTCCATTTGCAACATGGATGGAGCTAGAGCGTATTATGCTCGGTGAAATAAGCTAGGTGGAGAAGACAAGTATCAAATAATTTCCCTCATTTGTGGAGTATAACAACTGAAGCAAAACTGAAGGAACAAAACAGCAGCAGAGTCACAGACTCCAAGAGGGAACTAGCAGTTACCAAAGGGGAGGAGTGGGGTAGGGTGGGTGGACAGGAGGCAGAAGGGGATTAAGGGGTATTATGATTAGTACACATGATGTGTGGGGGGTCATGGGGAAGACAGTGTAGCACAGAGAAGACAAGTAGTGACTCTAGCTTCTTACTACAGTGATGGACAGTGACTTCACTGGGGTGTGTGGTGGGGGTTGATGATATGCGTGAATGTAATAACTACAATGTTTTTCATGTGAAACCTTCATAACAGTGTATATCAGTGATGCCTAAATAAAAAAAATAAATAATCCATGAGGTCCCAGAAGTCCCTGAGACTGATGGGTTGAGTGTTCTGATCTCAGGCTCACCATTGATCCTGTGAAGAACTCACAAAGGGCAGAGTCCTAACCGCAGAGAGAGGTTTTACCTAAGGAGGAAGTATTCCTTTAATTCGCCAGCATCACCTGCCTGTTCAGGTTCCTCTGAGCAGTGATCACATGGTCCTTGGTTCTTGATTAGCTGCAATGGAGTGAGGAGCAAAAGGCAAAACCTGAAAACAAATTTCAGAGAGACAGATGAGTGAAATATAAAATAAACAGGAAAAATAAATGAGAAAGTATCAGGGTACTGATTCATTCTCAGGGAGAGAAAGGCCTAAGCCATGAACATAAAGGCTGACATTGTAACAGAAAAGCTAATAGATTTGGCCTTATAGTTTTCTGTACTTATAAAAAAAACACCATCACAAATCTGTAATACAAGCTAAAGTTGCCTTATACTAGAATTACTTGTGTGTATGTCTGTGTCCTTTCTTCCTGCATGTACACAGTAGGCTCTAAGTCCCAGAGAACAGGGCCCATGATATTCACATATGGATATCACATAGTGCCTAGGATAAAGAGGGCTCAGTAAATGCTGATTTGAAATGTTAAGCAAGTTCAGGGTACTATCTAATTTTATCAGGGTGTAGGGGTGGTGACAAGAGCCTCTGCCACATATGCCCATCACCATCCCTCCTCCACCCGTTCAACCCTTTTGAGCTTCATATTGTCTGAACCCCATGACAGTATACTATTTGCAATCTTGGCAATTCTCAGAAGAGCCATCAAAGGGCCTAAATTCCCTAAGAGATTGACATAGTCCACTACTCAGATTTTCAAAATGTCAGAGCTGAAAGGAACCCTCCAGCCTTATGTCAAACTAGAGACGGGAAAATCAAAACATAGAGGAGAGCTTGGACTCAAGTCTTAAGTCTCCTGACACTCAAATGTGAGTTCTTCTGTATCACGCTTACTTCCAGAGCATAACTCTACTCCTCAAGGTCCAGAGGCCCCCTCCCACTTCTCTGCTCCATAAATAGCCATCTAGAAATGCTCCCTTTCAGCCGTGGTCCCCATATTCTCTAGCATGCAGGATTCCTATCCCCAGATTAATTTTACAGTATAGGTCTCACCTGCCCAGCACAGACAGCCTTAGTCCAAAAGTTCTGCCCAGCAATATATCCTGCCTAAAATCGTCCTTGGGTTTGGTGAGGAAGTTCCTAATGGGGTCTTGAGTCACTGTAAACAGACAGAAATGACTGAGTTCTCTGAGAGCTCAACTCCAAGAGGACAGTAAGGGCAGGGTCCCATCCTACACAACTGTGAGCAATACAGATGATTTTTATTTTAACAATGAGGAAATGAAGCCCCCAGCTTGAATGACTTTCCAAAGGTTATATGCTAGTGAGAGACAAGACTTCTGTGTCTGAAGGAAATCTTCATGCCATCACACCGCAGTTACTCCTTTTCACCTATTCTGTTCGTATCTAAGTCTCCATATTCTCCTCTAACTGCAAAATGCATTCCAACTGCAATCCAGCTTTCCAGTGAAAGTATGCAGAGGAGGGATGAGAGAGGAACTTTGCAGTCAAATGTCTTTAGAGAAAGAGGAAGAAATAAGACTTTAGAGGGGCGCTAGAATTATTTAAAAAATCATTACCCACTTCTTAGGATTACTAGGGCACAAAACCTGTTTTGTTTTTCCCCTTTCAGATTGCCAGATTCTGCTTCTAACTCTCCAAGTTTATTACATTTCTTCCTAGAACACAGCTCTGTCTTGTACACGGCTGTAACCCCAGGACAGAATACACCACTAGGTAGGTAGTCAAGTATTTGTTGAATGAATAAATAATCTTGGCAAGATTCTGCCCTCATCTCCAAGTCCGTTTCCTCACTGATGAGCTGGAGTTAATATATCGGACCGGTGACTCGAGTCAAATACTCAGGGATTGTGGAATTCTTTGAGCCTGGGCGGGACCTCCACTGTTATGACCAGGGCTGCCCCCTGGTCGGGGGCGGGGATGACACGGTTCTGTTACTACTCTCAGGCCAGTCACAGCAAGCGGCTCCGCCGAGTGAGAGACCCAAGACAAAGAGGCAGCGCCAAAGGAGGACGGGGAGGGGACCCCAACTACCCCCGTGGGCCGCCGCGCCCCCGTCTCCGCAGCAGGGAGTCGGGCAGTGGGCCTAGATCCCGGCCGGTGCCCCCCAGACACTCGCAAAATTCGGCCCGAACCCCCACGCCAGGTTGCCGCAAACCCCCTCACCGACAGCGTCCGACCCACATCTTGGAACGGAGCGGAGGAGGAACTACGTCACCGGCTCCCTAGTAACTCCGGCCTGGCCCTCCGGTCCTTCTAGGCAGCGGGAGGTTCCGGCATCTCTGTGACCCTGAGGCCGGAGCTCTCCCTGCCGGCGCTAGGGCCCGCGGACTCCGGGGGCGCTCTGGTCCCGCCTCCCGCCCAGCTTTCGCCCTAACACTGGCTAGGAGGACGAAAAGGCTTGGAGAGTTCAGCCCATGAAAAGAGGGCTCAGAAGGGGTGGAGCCCGGAACACTCGTTGGAGCGGGAAGGGGAACCATTGCATTGGACAGCCAGTTTTCCTTCCCCTCCCCGAAGTCGCACCGCCAGCTCTGGCTGCTGAGCAGAAATCATCTTTCCGCAGATACCGCGCCTTTCAACCTCAAAGCCACCATCAGCTACCGTTTACAGCAGCATAAAAACACACATATTGGGTGTCTACTTTGTCACTGTTCTGGGCACCTCAGATACAGCAATGGTGAAAATGAACTTGCTGCCCCATGAGCATTACTTTCAAGTCAGGCAAGACAATGATAAATACATGAGCGATTAGGGTATGTGGGCATCTGAGGCATTTGGGGATCCTAATGGATCATCTAAAGCTTGAATCAGGAGGGACGGGGCACACATTCCGGACTTTAAAGGCCATAACGGCTTTGGATGTGTCCTGAATAACTTGGAGGGTTTCGGGACTGAGGAGTGACATAACCTTTTAATTTTTTTCCTGACATACGTACATATATCAAAGATTAGCTATCAGGAAAGGAACCAAGAAACTCGTTCCTGTAAATTGTCTTGCTTTCAGTCTTCATGCAACTAGACATAAACCTTGCGTGCAAGTTTCACACAGGGACATAACATTATAAAAATTTGCTCCAGCTGCTTTGTTGAGAATAGTTTGAAGGTGGGCAATAGCAGAAGCAGGGAGATTAGGAGGCCATTGCACTCTTCCAGATGAGACATGATGGTGGCTTGGACTAGTTTAGAAGTGAGGTAATGAGAAATAGTTCTGCATATATTTTGAAGCTATGCCCAGCATGATTTGCTAATGAATTGGTTGTTGGCTAAAGTTCAAAGTTATTGGTATGAGCAACCAGAATAGATTACCTTTGGAAATAGAGTAAACTGAAAGAATAGTTTCAGGGGTATGGATTAACAGTTTTGTTTTGGATATAACTGAAAATTGTAATTAGACATTCAAGAGGAAATGTCAAACAGGTGGTTAGGAGTACAGAGTTTGGTGAAGGCATCACCAACAGAGCTGTAAATCTGGGAGGATACTCCAGGGAATGTTTGTAGATAAAGAAGTTGTCTGAGATTGAGCTTTGAAGCTCTTTATCAATCAACAAATATGTATTGAATACTTAAAGTATACCTGGAGTTTTTCTATCTGTCAGATCAAGTAGGTGGCACAACTCTGCCATGTTCTACAGAGACTGAGGAACAGATTCAGAGAAATCATGACTTACACTTCACATCCTCCAGTGGATGCTAGAAGTCAGGAGCACAACTATTGCCACTACACCAGGAAACTCTTAAGAATATTCATGTATATTAGGACAGTTATAATCAAGTTAAAGTCCTCTTTTTCACCTATTTTTTTAAACTGGGGGAGAGGTCATTAATTCTGATTCAAGCTGCTAACTCGGCATTTGGCCCCAGCAGTAATGATTACTCATTGATATTCTGAAAGCCCAATAGTTCTAAATTTTAGAGAGTTTAAGAATCACTTGGATATACGTTAAAAGTGCAAATTTCAGGGGCTCCTATCCTTATTGCAATTTCCCAAAGGCAGTTCAATCCAGATATGCCCTTGAGTTAAACTGATATTAAAACAATACCAAAAAATCCATTAACATTATGGGCTAACTTGTGTCCCTCACAAATTCATACAAAGTCCTAACCCCCAGTACCTCACAATGTAACTGTATTTAGAGATAGAGCCTTTAAAACGAGGTAATTAAGGTTAAATGAGGGTATTAGGATGGGTCCTAATCTGATGTGAAAGGTATCTTTATAAAATGAAGAAATTAGGACTCAGACTAACACCAAAGAAAGACCATGAGAAGATGGAATGAAGTGCCCATTTACAAACCAAGGAAAAAGGCCTCAAAAGAAATCAACCCTGCTGACACCTTGATCTCAAACTTTGAGCCTCTAGAGCTATGAGAAAATTAATCTCTAGTTTAAGCCACTCAGCCTGTGATGCTTCGTTATGCAGCCCCAGCAGACTAACATACCTGACTTTCTTGAGGAGCAACAAATTTGGTGGTGACCAACTCACAATCCCAAGGAAAAAGGGTGTTCCAGTACCAGGAGATGCAGAGCAGGTGGCATGTCGGGGAATGGCTTTGCAAACTTGGCATCAATTTTAGGCCCATGACTTTATAGTTTCTTGTTTGGGGCAGGGCAGCTAGAACACACCTTTACCTCTGTCTCTATACAAGCTGTTCAGAACTTACTGTAGCATATTGCTCTTGACAAATCAGAGCTCCCTGACAGATGTGCAACTTCTCATCCTTCAGACTGTTGGGAATTTTTCAGCTGTTCCTGATCCTACTTGTTCAAGTATCCCACATGTCCACTCTAAATGGAAACCTTAGGGAAGGCTAAAAGGTGAATTGTTGTCGTGGCTTTCTATGGAAAGTCTTTTAAAGAATAACCACAACTATCTCACTGTTCTAGTGACCCTCACTAGGATAGCCATAGTAAATACACAGCTTAAACTGGAGAATACAGTTGTCAGTGGTTTAACTTTAGCACCATACCAGCTGCCATGACCACTTTCTCCATAAAAGGCCTCTGTAATAAATAGGCTGCACATATCTCAAAACCTAGAGGCACCAGCAGTGCGGTCCCTCAGTAAGAGCTTGATTGTCATTAATTTGTGTACATTGCTGAGGCTGACTGGCTTGCCAGAGGGTGCTACAGGCATGGTGTAACTGCAGTTGTTCTGCACCACCCTCCCATGGGAAACAACATAACACTGCTGTCTCAGTAAAGGAATATAGCATTTTTCAACTTTCCAAAAATGGGAATCAAAGTATATAATATAAACCCAGATCTATATAACCTGGGCTGGGCATGTACACATGCCCCATGGTCCTGAACATCTAGCTGTGGTTACCATTCAGTTCGAGAGGAATACATATTATCTTGTTGATTTTAGTTCAATTATTTCATTGTACCCAAATCTTGGGTAACTACTGGCCCTGTGCATCTCTCAATTTGGGGGGTAAAAGCCTGTAAGCCATCTCTATAAAATGCCACCTGTACATTCATTCCTAGAAACTTTCAAGTCTATGGACTGGGCCACCTAAAGTGGAGATTTTTATTCAGCTGACAATTCCTGACCAAGCATAACTTGAGGAATACCCACAGATTAGAAGAGGCAGTTCACCATACATTTCTCTCCTACTGTGTTGTCATGTAAAGCATTCACATGACTTAAAAGGGTATCTCTACCTCACCTTACTTGGCACACACCGGGGTGCATAAATTAGTGAGAAGACTGTTGTGGTTCAGTGAAGACTAAGTCCATATTCTATACTAGGTCAAACACTTGGACCATTAGGTACCTGAAGCCAGGTGACATCCTAACACCTTCCAGCTGGGGCAAGTGCTTCTATATGGCCCCATCAGGAAAGAACATATTCTAACATTAGGGGCAGGGGATTTATTTTCTACAGAGCAAACCCACTCTGTGGGTATTCACCAATTATCCCTAGCTCCTAGAGGTTTCCAGGAATGTGTCCTTGGTATCACCCCAGGTCAGTGCCTTACCAGAAATGTCTCCCAACATAGGACAGTACTCAGTAACTTGTCGGTACCTACAATCTCTTGACCTTTCCTACTGGATTTAAAAGCTGAATGACCAGGGTTAGAGATACACATTATAGCTGTGGAGTACTTTCCTTCTGTGTATAAAAGTTAAGAGGGCAAGTGCCCACCTCCTAGCACCTTTACCATATTTGTTCACTTGAATTATCTACTGGGTATAAATACTAATTTTTAAAATAAATCAGAAGTTCTTTATGCCATTGACAGTGCAACCACTGAAGAAATCAGAAGTTCTTTATGCCATTGACAGTGCAACCACTGAAGAAATCAAAATGTTATTAGATATGTCACTCCCAATTCCCTCCCTCCCAAAAATATCAGGCTGAGTTCTTTCTAGCCTTCAAAGAATAATTCCCACATTATGTAACTCTTCATAGAAGTAGAAGAGAAATAAACATTCCAAATACATTTTGAGAAGCCAGTAAAACCTTAGTAAAGTCAATCTAGTTCTACACATAACAAATAAAAACCACCACGAACAAATGGATTTTATTCCAGGAATGCAAAGGAATTTCAATTATTAGGAACCTTCTGAAAAAAAAAAATGAAGTACAAAAAGAATAAATGATATGACCCATAAATTAAACTAATAATTTTTTTTAAAACTTGGCAAAACTTAACGATCATACTAATAAATACTCTACAACAATAATGGCTATAGCGTGTACTAAGTGCCAAGCACTGTTTAAATTAAAGCACCTTATACTCAGGAACTGATTTTATCCTCACAACCCTATCAGGTAGCTCAATTTTATAGATGGAAGAACTAAGACATGAGGAAGCTAAGTGACTTGGCCAAGAACACAAACCTAAGAAGAGTGGTGGAGACAGGATTTGAACCTACTGTGCTAGGACAAACTCTGGGTTCTTTACTGTACCATAATGCTTTGCCTCTTCTAAACAGGAATACAAGGAAACTTCCTAAACACGATATTTATAAAAAACGTACAACAAAGTAACAGTAGTGGGACTTCTAGAAGTACACACAGAAGATATTAATGAGGCCTTTTTATGTGATATTCTGTAAGATTCCACTTTCATTTTTAGAAGCTTCTAGTCTGGTTGGCAGGATGGGGGATATAATGCCCAATTTAAGGATGGTTCAGTTGGAAAGCTGACTTAAAATATTTTATTAAACAAGTATATGAAAATCATTATCCATGTGCTAAAAAAATAGCTATCACACCTACTCTCAAAAAGCCTACAATAGTTTACACATATGCATTGAGAAAAACTTACAAGGCAATTCAACAATTGCATATTGTAATAACAACTAAGGTCAAATGAATAGAAGCTGAAGAGGAATGAAGAGGCATTTGAAGAAGAAAATCTTTCAGGGATGAGGAGGATCTAGAAGGCTCTAAGGTACATAGATTTAGCAAGTGGGAAGAAAAGGTCACCTAGGTGCAGAGGATCTGGATTAGAATCAAATTAAGAAGTATACAAGAAGGGCCATATCCAAGAGAAAGGAAAAAATTAGTCTTGGAAAATAACTTTCTGTAAATGCTAAAATGGATTGGTGGGAAATGAAAAGGAAAACACAATCTGTTCTTGAAAAGAGTCTGATTATGGTTTGAATAAAAATGAAACCGGTTTTTAAACAAATGAAAGAAAAAAGGACATCCATCAAATACATGAATGTGTAGTCCTTATATCCCTAAAGGTGGGGAAGGACTGTATTGACTCCCTCTCCCCCACCTTTGAGCCAGCAATAAAGGACATGGCCTACTTTGATTAGTGGTTCCAGGAGATTAAGATGACTATCCTTCTTATAATGAAAACTTAACTCAAATTCCATCCTCTATCTTGGAGAATCAGGCCTTAAGAAACTGATGGAGCCACACCTGAGTGCTTATCACCAGTGTGAGTTCGCTGGTGGTGATTGAAAGTGGAACGCTGGCTGAAGGCTTTCCCACACTCAATACATTCATAGGGTTTCTCTCCAGTGTGAACTCTCTGGTGCACAATAAGTTGTGAGCTGTCACTAAAGGCTTTCCCACAATCATTGCATTTGTAGGGTTTCTCCCCAGTATGGGTTCTCTGATGCACCATAAGACTGGAACTATAACTAAAGACCTTCCCACACTTATTACATTCATAAGGTTTCTCACCAGTGTGAATTCTCTGGTGTATAATGAGGTGTGAGTTTTGATTGAAGGATTTTCCACACTCATTGCATTTATAGGGCTTTTCACCTGTGTGAAGTCTCTGATGTCGAATAAGACATTTACTCAAACTGAATGCCTTACCACACTCGTTACATTCAAAAGGTTTTTCTCCGGTATGAATTCGCTCGTGGTCTATAAGCTGAGAGTTCTGGTTGAAAGCTTTCCCACACTCACTACATTTGTATGGTTTGTCCCCAGTGTGGAGGCTTTGATGTCGAATGAGACATTTACTCCGACTGAAGGCCTTGCCACATTTGTTACACTCATAAGGCTTCTCCCCAGTGTGGATTCTCTGATGGTCAATAAGATTTCGATTAGAACAGAAAGCTTTCCCACATGCATTACAGTTGTAGGGTTTCTCACCACTGTGAAGTACCTTATGTCGGACAAGACTTTTACTCCGAATGAAGGCCTCCCCACACTTGTCACACTCATAAGGTCTTTCCCCAGTATGGGTTCTCTGGTGGTCAATGAGTTGTGAACTCTGAGTGAAGGCTTTTGCACATTCATTACATTTATACGGTTTCTCCCCATTGTGGAGCCTCTGGTGCTGAATGACATGGGAGCTGTGCCGATAGGTCTTCCCACACACACTGCATTCATAGGGCTTTTCCCCTGTGTGAATTCTGAGATGAACTATGAGCTGAGAGGTCTGCCTGAAGGTCTTACCACACTCATTACACTCATATGGTTTCTCTCCAGTGTGGATTCTCTGATGGCCAATAAGGTGTGAACTCCGATTGAAACCTTTGCCACATTCACCACACCTATAGAATTTCTGTCCCTTTAGAACTCCTTGATGTTCAGTGGGAATGGAGGATAGATTTGAAAGCTCAAGTTCCTTATATTCATCACATCCATCTTTACTGAATTTATTTTTATCCTCATGTATTTCCAAAAAACCACATTTTAGTCTGCTCCCTTGCTCATCTGACTGTGCTTCTAGCTTCTCTAAAGCATCTTCACAGACATTTTTAGCTTCTAGTCCCCCAGGAACCACCCCATGGAGGCATCCTGATATCCTGTCAAATGACTCTGATCCTTCAGAAATTTCTTCCTTCGGAGACAACTCTGAACTCTCCATTCTAGATTCATTTGCTGCCAAAAGAAAGAAAACTTATTCATTTCTTGTCCCACTGAGGGAACAGATTAATCAGGAGCCTAAGTACCTGGAAAAAACTTCACATTATGGGTAAAGAATGAGATGAAATACTGAGAACGGGAGAGAAAATGAGAAAAAAAGTTTTCTTCATGGACAGAAAGATGAAAAGGGAGAAAATGGTTGGTGGAGGGTGGAAGAAGGGCTATCAAGACAGACAAATGTAGCACAAATAAGAAGGGCAACTGGAAGACAAGATACCAGATTGTGATGGTGTTATGGAAGTCACATGCTATATCTCTTTAGTAAAATGATAAACTATAAAGTCTGTCTTTTCCAACTATGATATTGTATGGTTCCACATTTCTAATCAAAGACACTGCAGAAACAGAAGCATGGCAAACATCTCAAGTGATAAATGAATGACATGTTTGTGCAAACATGGGAGTGATGGATAGGTAGTTTACATTATGAGGGTGTGATTAGGAAATATATATACTAAGAGGGAGGATTCTGCTGTGACAGCACAGTGATAAGATCTGGAGAAGGCAGCAGTTCAGAAATGCTGGGGAAAAGTATTGACAAGAGAGACCTCTAGTCCCAAGTAGCGATCCCTTAGTTCCTGGAGCCCTGGACTGGCAGGAGCCAATATTGCTTGCATATAAAAATTCAGAAGGGCATCAGTAATTTAAAATATAAATCAAAACATGTCTTTGGTATCTTGATAATCTGAAATCACAAGGGAACTGATCAGTTGATTATTTGCCTTTGAATTCCGGAATCATTGAATACAAAAGCTGGGAGAAGGCAGAGCAATCATGGTCCTAGTTGGACACAAATATCTTGGTTCCTTTCAATCACATCTTAACCAGGCCACAAATCATCATGCCACTTTAAGATGTGGATGCTACAGATGTCTGAATCCCTGACTCCAAGCCCACCCTCTCCAGAGATGGCTATTGTGCTAGGTTTCTCATAGAACTTGCCAAGCAAACATCCCATACAAGGAAGCTGTCCCACCCCAGTCTTTACTCAGAGGGAAGCTGAGACAAACATGCTTTATGCCAATGAACCAGGCTCATCCCATGATGGACCACAGGTGACTGGACAAGGGCCAGGCACTAGACCCTAGGATAGCTTATCTGTAAACATCAAGATTCTTCTGTGGCAAGGACTGAAGTTTTGCCCAAACAGAAACGATATTTAATGGCTGAACCATGCTTGTGGTAAATTCTGAACTGGAAGTAGAGCAAAATCAAGGAAACTACAATGTAAGTAAGAGTTCTAAGCAGAAATGATGCATGGAGAGAAGGCAAGCCACTAGGAGCCACAGCAAGCATTAAGTATGAGGGAACAGATAGTCTATTCAAGAAGGAGACGCGAGAGAACAAAAGATAACAGAGTGAAGAGAGTGGGTAGCAGGCAGAGGACAAAACAGATATTCAGGAAGCAGCTGTGTTCCAGTCCAGTAGAACCCTAGCATAAAAATTCATTTACTTTTGGTGCTCAAGCTCCCAGGCACCCAATGCTCCACACGGCTTTGTTGACCCAAGGGTAGCTTAGCTGGTAGGTTTGTTCAGGGTGTCCATTCCTCTACCCTTAGCGTAAGTAACACAGCTCATTATTTACAAGAACATAAGGGCTCTCTATCCTTGCAACTACAAACTGGAACTAAACGACCCAAGGCCATTCAGTGATGAAGTCAAGCCAGTGTCAATAACTGATAAAGCTCCATGATGGGACCAGAGAGGTTCATTACACTATTCTCTGTACTTTGTCTATGTTTGCAATTGTTCACAATAAAAAGTTTAAAGAGAAAAAGAACATAGCAAACAGAATATAAAGAATGCAGACTCACTTTCCAAAATATAGAAGAGGAGGGAATACTTCCATACTCAATCTATGAAGTCAGCATTGCTCTGATACCAAAACCAGGCAAAAACACGACAAAAAAAGAAAATTACAGACCAATATCCCTGATGAACATAGATGCAAAAGTACTCAACAAAATATTAGCAAACCTAATTCAGAAATACAAGAAGAAGATCACACAAATGATCAAGTGGGATTCATCCCAGGGATGCAAGGATGGTACAACATTTGAAAATACATCAACATCATTCACTCTATCAATAAAAAGGACAAAAGCTACATGATCATCTCCATAGATGCCAAAAAAGCATTCTACAAAATTCAACATTCATTCATGATAAAAACTCTCCACAAAATGGGTTTAGAGGGCAAGTACCTCAACATAATAAAGGCCATATATGACAACCCCACAGCCAACATCATACTTAACAGTGAAAAGCTAAAAGCTTTTCCTCTAAGATTGGAAAGAAGACAAGGATGCCCACTCTCCCCACTTTCATTCAACATCGTACTGGAGATCCTAGCCACAGCAATCAGACAACACAAAGAAATAAAAGGGCATCCAGATTGGTAAGAAAGAAGTCAAACTGTCATTGTCTACAGATGACATGATATTATACATAAAAAAACCTAAAGAATCCACTCCAAAACTACTACAACTAATATCTGAATTCAGCAAAGTGGCAGGATACAAAATTAATACACAGAAATATGTTGTATTCCAACACACTAATGATGAACTAATAGAAAGAGTAATCAGGGAAACAATTCCATTCACAATTGCATCAAAAGGAATAAAATACCTAGGAATAAATCTAACCAAGGAAGTGAAATACCTATACCCTGAGAGCTACAAGACTCTCATGAGAGAAATTAAAGAGGACATCAATAATGGAAATTCATCCCATGCTCCTGGATAAGAAGAATTAATATTGTCAAAATGGCCATCCTGCCTAAAGCAATCTACAGATTCAATGCAATTCCTATCAAAATACCAACAGCATTCTTCAATGAACTGGAACAAATAGTTCTAAAACTCATATGGAACCACAAAAGACCCCGAATAGCCAAAGCAATCCTGAGAAGGAAGAATAAAGCAGGGGGGATCTTGCTTCCCAACTTCAAGCTCTACTACAAAGCTACAGTAATCAAGACAATTTAGTACTGGCACAAAAACAGACCCATAGACCAATGGAACAGAATAGAGAGTCCAGATATTAACCCAAGCATAAATGGTCAATTAATATATGATAAAGGAGTCATGGATATACAATGGGGAAATGACAGCTTCTTCAACAGCTGGTGTTGGTAAAACTGGACCGCTATATGTAAGAGAATGAAACTATGGAACTGGATTTCTGTCTAACTTCATATACAAAAGTAAAATTGAAATGGATCAAAGACGTGACTGTAAGTCATGAAACCATAAAACTCTTAAATAAAACAGGCAAAACTCTCTTGAATATAAACATGAGCAACCTTGTCATCAGCATATCTCCCTGGGCAAGGGAAACAAAAGCCAAAATGAATAAGTGGGAGAATAAGAAACTAAAAAGCTTCTGTACAGCAAAGGACACCACCAATAGAACAAAAGCTTCCTACAGTATGGGAGAATATATTCATAAATGACATATCCGATAAAGGGTTGATATCCAAAATATATGAAGAGTTCACATGCCTCAACAACCAAAAAGCTAATCATCTGATTAAAAAATGGGCAGAGGAGCTGAACAGACACTTCTCCAAAGAAGAAATTCAGATGGCCAACAGGCACATGAAAAGATGATCCACATCACTCATTATCAGATAAATGCATATTAAAACCACAATGAGGTATCACCTCACACCAGACAGGATGGGCAACATCCAAAAGACAAACAACAACAAATGTTGGCAAGGATATGGAGAAAGGGGAACCCTCCTACACTGCTGGTGGGAATGTAAATTATTTCAACCACTGTGGAAAGCAGTATGGAAGTTCCTCAAAAAATTAAAAATAGAAATACCATTTACCCAAGAATTTCACTTCTAGGAATTTACCCTAAGAATGCAGGGTCCCAGATTCAAAAAGACATATACACCCCTGTGTTTATTGCAGCACTATTTACAATAGCCAAGAAATGGAAGCAACCTAAGTGTCCATCAGTAGATGAATGGATAAAAAAGATGTGGTACATACACACAATGGAATGTTATTTAGCCATAAGAAGAAAACAAATCCTACCATTTGTAACAACATGGATGGAGCTAGAGGGTATTATGCTCAATGAAATAAGCCAGGCGGAGAAAGACAAGTATCTAATGATTTCACTCATTTGTGGAGTATAACAACAAAGCAAAACTGAAGGAACAAAATAGCAGCAGACTCACAGAACCCAAGAATGGACTAACAGTTTCCAAAGGGAAAAGGACTGGGGAGGATGGATGGGAAGGGAGGGACAAGGGGTGAGAAGGGGCATTACGATTAGCACACATCAAATGTAGGGGTGGGTTCCACAGGGAAGGCAGTATAACACCAAGGAGACAAGTAGTGATTCTATAGCATCTTACTACGCTGAGACAGTGACTGTAATGGAGTATGTGGTGGGGACTTGATAATGGGGGAAATCTAGTAAGCATAATGTTGCTCATGTGATTGTGTATTAATGATACCATAAAATTAAAAAAAAAAAAAATGCAGGCTCTAAGTCACCAGGGAAGAGAACCATTACCCGATGAGGCCATGCTGTGGTAATTTTGCAGCATGATGTTCTGGCACTGGGCTCTCTGACTGTACGCCAGACGTTTCCACCTCTTCTGAGTATAGTCCACAGGCAGGAACTCATGTGCTGCAGACCCCTGGAATGACAAGCTTCTATTGCTCATGGATGTTCCCAGCCTGAAGGGAAGAGCCATCGGGGATGCAGAGAGCATGGGGAAGGGCCCTGGTGAGCAAAAGGCTGGGGAAGGGGAAGAAGCTAGGACGACATAACTAGAGGACAAGTCCAGGGCTAGACAGAGTCGATGAACTCAGCAGGCAGGACCCAGTTTCAGGGCAAACAGTTAGGCAGGGAAGCCACAAGAACAGTCTCAGGGTGGGCCCAAGCCCTGGAGATGAGCTCTGCTATTCCTGGGCCACAGACTTGGGAATTCAGGAAAGTCAGAAAGAACCAAGCTCACCTGGGGCCTGACCATGGGAAGCACAGTTGCTGCTGCTTGGTCTCCTAAGTTCCCAGGCTGAGGAGGGGCAGGAACTGGGGAAGTACGCTGAGCTGAGGGAGGAAAGAAAGCTGTGAGTAGGACAAGACTTGCCTTGGATCCCAGAACATCTGTATCCCAGCAAGTGGATTCAAGAGAACCCAGGCAACTCCACAAATACTGACTGTCATGCCTCTTCCACAGAGGTGCTGTCCTGTGTGTGCTGTGAGCTTGGCCTGGAGGACCTAGTGGAAGGCCCCTGCTCACATTGAGAGCTGGCTGACCCTCCCAGCCCTCAGGTTCTTCAGCCTCTCTGAAGGAAACTATACTCCTGAGCACTTTCTCAACCCCATGGCTGCCCTAGTACCAGCCTAGCCTAATTTTCCTCTTGGACCTCTGGTCCCCCATACCCTGGTTTCTCTGCCTTCTACAACACCCTCACATTATGCACACTCTAGGCACTCAGGCCTCAGACTTCCCTTTTCTCTGTTAAGAGATCTTACCAACTCTCACTGCTCTAATGCCACTCTCAAGTTCTCATTCTCTTATATGTCCCTATCACAAACTTACCGTTGCGTACTGGACGTTTCATTTGTGTATCCCACAACGTCTTAAGTTCGGGGTCTAAGAGACATGTTCTTCCCATCTTCTCTTGACTTCCCAAGTTCTGTCAATGATTCTAGATATTGGGAAAATCTTCTAATTCCCTGTCCTTTCTGTTTTCCTATGGATTGTCCTTCAGTATCACATCTATAACTTTTCACTCCATTCAACCCCACTCAAGTAATAACTATCTCACATCCATTCTCCTACATTAGCCTCCCACTCAAGCTCCTGGTCAGTGGTCTCCCCATTCAATCCACAGTGCTGTCACAAGCCAGAGTTATTCTTCCAAAATACTGTTTCTAACTCATCACCCTCTGCCCATAGTCTTCCTCACCTCAATCCTTTGCCCTGCACAGGCAGACTCCAGCCTCCCAAATACAGTCCTCCCGGACCCCATCTCAACTTGATCCAAGGAACCCCTACTTATAATCTTTTGTTTATATCCTGTTCTGGTGCCTACCACTTTTCTCTCCTCTTTAATTTCTCCCCAGCTTTCCCACTGCTACTTCTTCCATGAAGCATCCCCTATCTACTCCAGCCCATAGTGATTTTGCTCAGTTTATATGGTCCACATTGTTCATTTGTGAGGACACTGAATGCCTGTGGACAGATACCACCCCTACATATCTTACAAGGGTGCCTCTTCTTGCATGCATGACTAACTCTGCCAACTGGATGCTCTTTGAAAGCAGTAATGATGTACCTTATTTCTGTGGTTCCCAACAGTGCCTTTCACATGACATGTGCTTGAGAATAACTTGCAAATACATGAATGGAGAAAAAGCAAAAGGAACAAAGACACTAGGGAAGGAAGACACAGGGCAAGGCAATGAGGGATTCCAATAGGGTGGACATGGTAAGATGAATGAAAGGAGACTTAGAGATGAGAAGGGAGTTGTAACTTGAGGCTGGGGGGAGGGGTGAGTACCAGGGTGCCCATGGGGGAAGTGGTGTAGCCCTGCATGGTGAGGAGGGTCCAGGTGGATTCCAAGAGCTGAATCCTCACTGAGGGGTGAAGTAGGAGGAGATTCCTCTATTGCACCCAGGGCTGTTGTCTCCTCCAAATGCATTTCCGGTTCCTGGGATGGAACTGAAACCTAGAGATGAGAAATTACAATGTATTCAAAAGAGCACCTTGAAGGTAAGGAAACCAAAAACTCTAAGGAGCACTCTCCAGAAAAAAGCAAGGGACAAAACAGCCAGTGTCCTTCCAGCCCCACCAGTACAACCTACTAGGGAAAAAACTGTCAAAGCAGGATCTACAGCTTACAATCCTAGTTGCCATTTGTTGAGAGTTTGAAGACCCTCCTGGTAAGAGCTTGAGGCCCAGATTATACAGTCATTTCCACTTCGCCATTTCTTCAGACTCAAAATTTGCTTATGAAGAACCATCTAGAATCAGGAGCCAGGAAAGCAATTCAGTATATTCCCTATGACCTTAGTCTACAGAAGAAACCGACTGGTACCAAGTACTTGGTACAGAAGTACCAAGGAAATAAAAAATGATAGGTGTGTGTACCTTTGTGTGCACGAACAATACTTCTGAGGCTGACAGCTAAAGCAATTCCCAGAACAGCAGCTGATGAACCTTAAGAGAGATTTTCCAATTTCTCTTAGCAAAAGGGTTTCCTCTTTAGAGAAGCAATCTCTGACCTCACTGACAAAGCAAGGACCGTCACTTTCTCTTGAATTATCTGATTATATTTCTATATAGCATGTACTAATTTTTGTCTTATTTAAACCTTCATTGTCTATTCCTCCCTTAATAAAATATGTGCTTTTCGAGGGCAAGAATCACTAGTTCCGAGAACAATGCTTGGCCCAACGTTGGTGTTCAATTAGTATTTGCTGACTTCCTCTCTATATTTGCTGTTTTAAAGATTATCCGCAAACTCAGTTTTTAATATGTACTATCCCTCCCCAATAATTTAGATAAAAGAGCCAAAGAGAATCAGATAATACCAATCTTTAGAGACCTTGAGAATACCTCAGAGTATAGACCTTTTATTTCTAACCCTTGCTTGTTGTCATCAAAATAACTCCTCCCCCTCACGGTTACTATCTTTACCAGCATTTGGAGCAGAAAACTTAAAAGATAAATCACCTACTCACTCGCTCTGGCATGTACACAGTAGAGCAAAAGGTGAAAATAACTTCTTCAATGAACCATGATGGATCTGCCCTACTGGGTTACATCTGCTGAGATGTGGGGGAATCTCCCCTTTAGTGGATGTCTCTCCAGCATAGTGGGCAGGACTAAGAGGCTCCCCGGGGTCTGTGGTTCCCAGGTTCTCCACTGGATGGTTCTTATGAGAGTTACAGCTCTTAAATACAGCAGCTGTGCGTAGTGGCAGAAGATAGGTAACCACACTGTGACAATACAATCTTATAATTCACCAACAAATCCTGGCACATTTCCTGCTCATTATCAACGACTCAGACTCATAAGTTTCCTTTCTTCTCAGGCATGAGAACCCCATTCCATGTTTCATTCTAAGATGGCATTCTACAGCGAGGTACTAGGGAAAAGCTAGTGGCTTAGAGTCCACAGAGCTGGAAAATTCTGATTCTTCCACTTGGTGTTAATCAGCAATAACCACACTGGCTAAATCTCATGAACAAAGAGAAAACTCACGGTCATCTTAGATGAGTCAATTAAACTCTCTGTACTCGTAATCACTTGTCAAATGGAGGTAATGATTACTATTTGCCTATTTTGTAAGCCTAGCAGAAGCTGAAATAAGATACGGAACATAAAAGCATTTTTTAAGTTGCATGGTTCCGCAGCCCAGCAGGGATCACTCTACAACCCCCTCCGTCCCCAGTGTGCACACACATGCATGCTCACTCCTGCCAGGCAGAATGACTGATCTGCCCTGATACTCCTTCATCTACTCCTTGCAAACTGCCATGAAAAAGCCTGTTTATTCATTTAGCCATAAATACATTTTCTGAGCCCTTGCGAGGAAAGACAGTCCTGTTCTAACGTCTTCTTGTCAGAAAACTTAAGCTTACAATAATGGCAAAGTAAGAATGGAGTCCAAAGACCCTCCTTATAGGCTGGAGCCATCATGTTCAGTTACCCTATCAACTGTTAGTCACTCTCCTGGGTCTGTAACTCAGTCATCTTTTTCTGAGGCTCCCTGGATAAAAGATCGAGTTTTAATGGAGAGAGAGCTCCTTTCTGCTTAAGCCAAAGAAGGTTAGAAAAAGGAAATTTTCCTTCCACTGTCCCCACTAAATGGCACTTTAAACACTTCTTCAGCCACTTATCTTTGCCCATGGCTGGGCCTAGTTGCTTTCTAGACCATGACAATGGTTGTTTTATTCCTGTGTGTTTACTTGTTTACACAAGGAAATATTAGTTGAAATGGACGCAATAATGCCAAATGCGCAGTGGCTAGTACTCCTGGAACAGCCCCAGGACTCCAAACAACTGAAACTGATTCCAAAGGCACAAATAAGCAATCATTTTTTTTAAAAGTATTGAATAAAATTATATGCTGGGTACTCAGGAAATTTCATATACTGGTTTTCCATAGCAGAGAAAAAGGAGACAGTAACTTCTACTTCAATAAACCATGCTGGATCTGCCCCATTGGGTTTCATCTGCTGAGATGTGAGGGGACTCTCTTGTCTAGTACATATCTCCTCAGTGTAGTGGGCAGGACTGGTAAAGCACAAAGGAGTGAAAGAGCGGGACTCTAACCCACCCCACTCAGTTACAGGGGGCAATTTGAGACTCAAGAGAGACTAACTTATCCATGCTGTGATCATCTTTCGATGTGTAAATTTAGGATGGATTAGGTGTTGCTGTGAAGGTATTTTGTATATATTAAAATCCATCATTAGTTTAAGTAAAGGATTATTTGAAATAATCTGGATGGCTCTGATTTGATCACTTGCAAGGCCTTAAAAACCAGAGCTGAAGGTTCCAAGAAGAAAAATTCTGCCTGTGGACAGCAGCTTCAGTCTGTGCCTGAGATTTCCAACCTGCCCTACAGATTGCAGATGTGCCTTGCCAGCTCCCACAATCACATAATGCACTTTCTAGCCATAATGTAAATGTAATATTTATATATACTGGTTTTGTTTCTCTGGCTGAACCCTATTACACATGGTTACTGAGCTAGTTAGTTCTATGGCCTTAAAGACAGATTTCCCATTGTTACTACACTGCTGGTTCCCCAACTTCTCCTCTGATTTGAGTTACCTTGGATTTAAACTTGACAGAGCTCCAGGAAATAGGAAAAATAAAAATAAGAAGTAAAGAGGCAAAAGATCCCAGCTGGGCTTAGAAAGCTAGGAAAGGAACAAATGACTCTGAAGCCCAGAAATGTCACCTCTCATAAAGAAACTAAAAGGCAGGAAGAAAGAGAATTGACTATGAGTAGTCTAAGGAAGTGCATAAAAAGAACTTCTCAAAAAACCCATGTTATCAGTATATCCAAAGATCAACCTCTCCTAATGACACTGCTCCATTCTAACCAGAGTACAAATCTTCTGCCTGCCAGGAGTCCTATGTGGCTCTCCAGGCTGAAGCTAGGCTCATGACACAGTATTTCAAAATGATTCACAGAGCCTGGCTGGGATTTGCCTCTTTATCTACCTTGGAACACAAAATCATTTTCCTTTTATCCATGGAACTGGCTCAGGAATCTTACAGGCAAACCAGCCTGGAGTAGGGAATGGAGAATGCCTACTGCCAGGCTAACCCAAGCACTACAGACTGGTTCTAGATGCTACTCCAGGCTCAACTGCTCACCTCTGCTGGTCCACCAAAGTGTCTCTGGAAATCCTCCACCACAGCCACAGCCTCCTCACCGCTCTCAGGGTGATGCAGCTGCACCCAGGTCCGAATCTCCCTGGGCAGAATGCTCAGGAACTGTTCCAGAACTAGCAGCTCCAGGATCTGCTCCTTGGTGTGCACCTCTGGCATCAGCCACCAGCGGCAGAGCTCCCGGAGACGGCTCAGTGCCTCCTGCGGCCCAGACATCTCATGGTAACATAACTGCCTGAAGTGCAGCCGGAAAATTTCACAGACAGGAGGATGGTTCTTTTGGAGGCTGCAGCCCTGCCCCCAGATCTGGCTCTCTGGCTCCTGCTTCACGGTTGGAAGGCCCTCCTGCTTCTGGAGGACAGCACCCCTAGGGATGATTCCTAAAGTTCCCCTGCCATGGGTGGCCATCGTGATCCCCAAAAGCAGCCTGTTGCAGCTGCAAATCTGTCTGATTAAAATGATGATCTGTAATTCAGATCTCAGGAGACCTTTTTCAGAGTTGGGGGTGTGGAGTGATGGAAGGGTCACCTATAAAAACATGAAGAGAGGAATCAGAGTCCCCAGAGTGTTCAGCCACTGGCTGAACGGATAAAAAAATGCAACATTCCAGGAAAAAAGACTACAACCAGAGCAGCCTCTCTTAAGTGTCTCACTTAGTGATTCTCTTCTTAAACTTTCAGTGGCTCCCATCACCTACAGAATAAACCTGAATGTCTATGCTTAGTACTCATAGCCCTTTACATCCTGGGCTTAGGCCTCTGTTCTAGCCACACACTCAACCACTCTCCCCAGGCATCCAGGCTTAGAAAGACAGCAATAATCTCCAAATGTGGGATACATAAAAAAATACTTGTTATAAGTAGTTATTTAACTCCTACTTAGTATATGTTCTTTAACATGCATTGAAATTTGTAAAATAGTACATGTCTTAAATTGATAAGCAAACCTATGTTGGAAGTGCATGCTCAAAACTCTTGTACTTCTATCATGACAGACATGCACAAGAAGATAAGTTTGGGACTAAAGCCCTAAAGACAAAGCTAGAAGCCACATATACTCTTTCCCTATTTGGACTTTTCTTACTCCTTTCAACTTTTGACAAACTCTATTCATTTGTCAAGACATAGAACACATACCACTTTCTCTTGAAGGCTCTCCTGATTGCCCCATGCAGGAAGAGAGCTGGTAGCCTCTCTCTGTACCTCTCACTGCAACAGTGTTATTTACAGTTTATGCACAACTTGCCACTCACACCCACCAACTGCTGGAAGGCTACCAAAAGAAAGAAACCTAATGGAGTCAGAAAATGCCAGACCTTTTTCTACTCAATCCACCTGCCTTGGAAAGCCTTCCTGCTTTCTCCAGCCGTAAGTGTGGTTACTGCCTCAGCAAGCATACAGTACCGTTTTCCTTTAAACCTCTGCCAGAGTACTTCTCACATTGTGTTTGTGGTTTACACAGCTGTCTCTCCTTTTCTGGGATGACAGCAGGTCTGGTTCCTTTACATCTTTATACACGTGTGTGTACACAGCACAGAAGAATATTGGTAAACGAATATGGTTCATTTAGCTGATAGTGAAATGGGGAACTTGTATCCAGTTTACATATTGTAGAACTGTTTGAAAATCAGCATCTTAGTGGTAACTTCCAATTCATCATGCATCTTAGCTTACCCTTGGTAAGCTACTTCTCTCTAGGCCTCAATTTCATTATAAAGACAAAGATGGACTTAAAATTAACCTGTACATTCTGCTGAGATCCCTCACCTGTAGAAAGTTCTGGTCACTTTCCAATTTTTCATACTGCTCTCAACAGCTTACCAAATCTGGATTTTTGTCTCCAGGTCAGACCCCACATTTGAAATTCTGAGACTGTGCGACCCACTTCCGATGTTTCGTACTGTCTCTCAGTGCAAGACTGGGAAAACATCTGCCTACATTTCGCGTTAAACCGGGCCTCTACGGCGCCGCTCACCTGGCCACATCTGCCCTGTTCATCGCTGTACCCGCAGGTGCGCGGCTCCGTGCGAGGCTCGACTAATCGGCGAAAAGGTACAAAGGCGGCTCTGTACCTGGCAGCTTCGGGACATTACAGGGAAGGCACCGCCGGCCGCGGGGACGAAGCGTGGGCCCAGCCGGCGTCATCAACGCCGCGGACGGCCACAGATCCAGCCTAGCGATCCTGGGCCCGGCAACGCCTCCATCCCCGCCGCGAGTCCGCTCACCAGCGCCAGGGGCCTGCCACCCTTCCACAACCTGACACCGCCGCTGCCGGCAGAAGCAAACACAATGGCTGTGCCGGAACAAAACAGCCCCACTTTCGTCCATCTGTCATCATTTCCGGTCCTCCAGGATCCCGGAAGTATCGGTTGCGTAGGTGGGCGCGCACCTCCTAGTTCACCGGTGGAGGAATGAGTCCGTGGAGCAGTGTGAACCGACTTCGCACGTTGGAGGGCTGGCTGCGCTCGGAGCGCAGACTACGCTGTAGCTCCCTGGCGAAGACGGGCCATCTGTTAGGAGAACGAGGGCGGGGCTCAACTGAGGCTCCAGGCTGCGTATACACCCCTCTCAGAGCTTAGAAAGTCCGGGCTGCACTCGTCCACAGTTGGCGTTGGGTATGGACCGTCCCTCGTGACTCAGATGGGGAGACAGGCCAAGAGCGGCGGGGACCTGCCAGGGATCCCAGCGCATCCGTGATGGCGTTTGATGGGAATGCAGTGCCTCTACCTCCCCACTTAGTACCGTCCTGGTTCTCTGTGCTTCCTTCCTTCGGTTCCTTCTCCGTGGTTCTACCACAGTGGTCTTGGGAGAGTGGGGCGTTATACCTCCTGTACTCTGTTCTGGCCAAATCCCCGCCCAGAACCTGCCATCCTGACCACCAGCCTTCTTACTGGACCTTCCTGCTGCAAATTTCTGAAGTGGAAGGAGCATTTTCAGCCCATCTTACCCACAGCGTTCAGCTACCAGGGTTGTTAGCAAGCGCAGTTCTACCACAGTGGTCTTGGGAGAGTGGGGCGTTATACCTCCTGTACTCTGTTCTGGCCAAATCCCCGCCCAGAACCTGCCATCCTGACCACCAGCCTTCTTACTGGACCTTCCTGCTGCAAATTTCTGAAGTGGAAGGAGCATTTTCAGCCCATCTTACCCACAGCGTTCAGCTACCAGGGTTGTTAGCAAGCGCACCTGGACCGCACAAGCATCCTCAGAGGAGCCGGTCCAGCTACCACATTCCTAGTTTACCGGTGGAAGAATGGGCTGGGCCCATGGAGCAATATGAACCGACACCTCCTGCCTCCCATTCCAGAGACCTTGTCTCTTTTTTTGAGCCAGTGTCTGTGACTTTGATTCCCCTAACACATAGTTTTGGTCTTGAAAATTATAAACTTGACACTACTGGTTGTAGTCTTTCAGTTTTTGGGTATTGTTGAACCGTAACTTTGAAGTACAAGTTCTTCCAGAAGCATCTCAAACATAGACTGGAATTTCTTTCCAGCCTGTGAGTATGACAGACCCTAGCTCTGCCACTTTCCATCTGGGATTTCTGACCTTGGGCAAATTATGTATCCACTGAGTCTTAAATTCTTCATTTGTAAAATGGGAAAAAAATCTGCCTGCTTACCCCTCAGGGTTGGGAGGATTAAGTGAGGTAAATTGTAAGCTTTGACATATCCTATTAAGCACTACACAAATATAGAGAAGACATCTATGCGAGTAACTGTTTGGATTCTAGGAGGGAGACTGGTAAGACTGGACCTTGGAAACATCAAGGACAAGGGGCAAGCAGATACCAATGACTAACAAAAGTCCATATGTTACACCCAACCAAAGAGAAGTTCAGAGAGCCCAGGAAGAGACTGGTTTTGAAAGGGCTCAGAGGCAGTCTTGAAGGGAACAGCATTGAATTGAGACTTAAAGATGGATTTCAAGGTGTGGAGGGAAAGGGAACAACATGATCATTTGTCAAGAGATACACATTTGGGGACAGGTTATTAGTCCAGATTACTTCCTATTGTAAATTTTAGAGAATTAACAAAAAGTGATGCAATCTCCAATTTAGACATATAAAATCTGTATATCTGTAAATGACTATAACGTCCCCTGTTGATCCTTTTCTTCCACTGTTTTAGAAAACAGGTGCTACTTACATTCTACATTGCTAGTTGAACAATGGGAAGGAAGCCAAGAAGAAGCTGAGCCCTGAAATTCCAAGGAATTTGAAAATTCCTGCAGGATGCTTTCATCTTCCCCTGGGGCTCTTCCATGGCTAAGTCTATGTCTTCTTTTTGAAGAGTATCTAGCAGATTACCCTATAACACCAATGATCCACACACTGTTGTTTCTCAGATTAAGCAGGCAGAACTCCTTGGTGGATGTTTCCTCCTTCCTTGGAGGAGGCGTTCTGAAGGGCCAACTGGATTCTCCCCAGTAGCAGATGGACAGGAGTATTGTTTCCTCCTTTCTTTCCTAGCAGTGCCTGGAACAAATCTGTACCCAGGGTTACTCACCTGAAATGAGTTGGGCCTGTTCCCCAATCATCTTAATTCCATTTTTGGCTTTCTTCTTCTGAGCAGAAACTGAAAAATCTGATTCCTCTCTAAATACCTTTTAGGATTAGAGGGGCTTGTGTTTTAACCACTGACATCAAGTTTACTGATGGGATGCAAAATAAAGATTGAAGAGTAAAGCCAGGTAGGAGCTTCTCAATGTGCAAAGGTCAGTTGTGTATTTGAATTTGTCTTGTGTTTTTGCTCTTTGCTTCTTGGATTCCAACAAATGCTATAAATCTTCTCTAGATCCTACCCCCCTCAAAGTTTTAATGTATCTTTACTTTTAGGAGTTTTCCAGTATTTGGTTTATCTCATTAGCCCTAACCACACACCTCTGTTCCAAATAATTCCACTCTGCTGTGATGTCTTCTAATTTCAAAACTCATAACAAATACTAACTATTAACAATTTCTATAAACACTGTATAAAAATGAACTTCTTATAGCTGGCTTCCAGTCTACATTACTTCAACTAGTTTCTGGGATGTCAGTTTCATTTATTCAGGCTATCATTACATATACATATTTGTTATACTCCAGCAGATTGAATGCAGAAGCAGACATGAAAATCTGGCTATGTGCTATTAAAACAGTCTTTAGTCAACTAATCAAGTGAACAATGTGCCACTTCAGTCCACTCAAGTCCAAAATCTCTGATAAATGCACCTAGAGCAATAAATTCATCCAAATCTAAATAAACTCAGTCCAGTTCTTCTCTCTCTTGCCAAATTCCCTGCATCCATTACTATGCATATTCTTTGGATCCAATTTATGGGATTCTCATAAAACTCCGGGCAGTTAATAGAAAAGCCTTATTCTCTTTAATTTCTACTTTTGTCTGCTGAAAGCAGTAAACAGCACACACCAAAACTCCAAGTCTTTTCTGACATCTTCTCTAATGTTACAGCTTTAGTGAGCATATTGTTTGCATCATAATAGGCAACATGTGAAAAAATGCTTTTCCACTGTATAACCAGTGTTGTCAGCAGCATCCCACTACTTCAGGGTTTCTCAATCCCAACCCTTTTGGATCAGACAATTTTTTGTTGGGGGAGGAGGGACTGTCCTATACATGTAAGATATTAAGAGCATCCCTAGCCTCTACCCATTAGATGCCAGTAGGACCCCACCTCCAGTAGTGACAATAAAAAATGCCTATAGATGCCCCTGGGGAGTACTACATGTTCCAAATTCTGTATCAATGAATAATGCACTGAGCAGTAGCAGAAACCTGAAAGCCACTAGGCATTGCATCTGTATGCTAAGCAGAACCGAGGGGGAAGGTCAAGTCTTGTCCCCAAAAGGCTATAAAACAGTTATGCAACAAGGGACACCCTCATCAGGGACTTTCTCTTATACATTAGAACTGGCCCCTCTTAGTTCTAAGAGAACCTGGAAGACTGAATATTTTAGGTTTCTGGCCTCTATAGTAGCTCTATTCAATAAAATGTTCTGCGATGATGGAAATGTTCTGTATGTGCTCTAATAATATGATAGTCACCAGCTACATGTGGTAATTGAACAGTTGAAATGTAGCTAGTATGCCTGAAGAAATGAATTTCTAATTTCAGTTATTAGTCATATGTGGCAAGTAGCTACCATACTGGACACCCACAGCTCTAAAATAAAGGAAGTCAAGGAGTAGGGACTAGAAAAGATATTCAGAAAGCCAACTTAAAGTATTTGCCACCGGGATATTTTTACTTTCTTGAACTTCCCTTATTACTTGACTTCAGCAACATACTCTCAGTTCTACTTCTTTGACTCACCCTTCCTAGTATATAGCATCAAAGAAGTACTGGGCTTTCAATATGAACCAAGCTTTTCCCCACTCACCCGTTATGTTAATGTTCTCCAGGGTTTTCCTGATTTTCTTTTCATCTCACTTTTTACACTTTCCCTCTCTGAGTGAGCTCATCTACTCATTGTTTTATCTACCTCCCGCAGGCTGATGACTTCTAAATATCTGCTACAGTAAACAACAGCTTCATACATCCATCTCTCTACTTGTCTCTACCTAAGTGTCTCTACCTCACAGACCTCAAAGTTGTATCACGTTGAATGAAACAAATATTAATTTGCCAGGCAGTGAGTTAACTGAGGAATAAAGATACAAATAGGCTGGACATGGTCCTTCTGGTTCCTATAGTTTAGCAGGTGCAATAGGTAGGTTTTCTCTACTGAACTGGCTTCAACTGTCTTCATTTAGTTATATTCCTTCTCACCCAAGTAGAAGGGTTTTTTCCTTTCATAATGTCATTCTTCTACATCAGTTCTCCAATTCTTTAGTCTTAAGAACCTCTGAAGCTCTTAAAAATTGTTCAGGTCACCAAGCAACTGTTGGTTGTGTGGTTGTATCTCTTGAGATTTACTTATTAGTAATGAAAGTGAGTCACTATTTATTCATGTATTTAGAAATAACAATAGTAAACTCATTACATGTTGATATTTTCATTGTTTGCAACATATTTTTATGAAAATTAACTTCTAAAATGAAAAAGTAGAAAAATGGCACTGTTTTACATTTTTGCAACTCTTTAAATATTGGTTTAATACAAGTTGGTTGGATTCTCAGATCCGCTCCAGCTGCATTTAGTCTCTTGTAATATGACAGATATGTAGCCTCTGTATACTCCACTGTGCAGTCATGAGAGAATGAGAGTAAAAGAGGCAAGTAACATATGATTATTATTATGAATACAGTCTGAGCTTTGTGGACTCCTGGAAGGTGTCCCGGGGATGCCAGTTGTCT